TCCTCCAGGAACGGAAGGAAATTTCTCAGGCAGCTCTGCTATCCGAGCCCTCAAATGAGCAGCCAAGCAACGATGTATTTCGCGGTCTGTGATCGGCAAGGCCCTTCGGAGTGTTGGTCATGAAGGTTGACAAAACCATTTATCGTCCAAGAGCGGATGAGTGGTCGGCATAGTCCTCAGCACAAACTCTCTATCTTCCTGGCAGTATGTATCTCTATACTGATTGTAAGATGGAAATGCTTCAACGCCTCACTAGGGCTATTCTGCATCATCCATGTAAGAACCGCAAGCCTTTCCTGGTCTGCAATCTCTTCGTATCATGCTGGGAATGGACCGAAGCACCGATGGTGCTTCATCAGGATCTTGACGTCATATTTATCGTAGTCTATTATAGGAGGCTAATAAGCTGCATTGTATCATGGTTCACAACGAGCATGATTTCGATGGTTCTCTAGGAGAATAAACTTACGAACGCGCCAAACGGCCGAATGCCAGTGGAAGGAGCCCATTTTAATTGAAGATGTGCTTCGGGGCTTCTACACAATGGGGTTCTGATAAGGTCCCCGCATTGAGCATGAGGAGAGTCCATCCTGATGCTTCTACTAGCACTTCTGCACTCTCTTCTCAATGCAATGTCAATTGAAGGCGACACGTACCGGCCCTTTGTTGGGTGTCCGCTATCGTCGAAGAACGGATCCTGTTAATCCCAGCATTCCTAGGAGCTCCGGGGCAAAGGAAATATCACATTGATTTGCTGAGATACTGCCTCATTCTCAGTCACAAAATCGCTCATGAGGAATGGTATTCATTCCATGAATTTCATCCCAAAATGCGATTGGAAAGCTCAAGTTGTCTGTTGGATATAAGAGGAGCGTCTGATTCTAATCTGACCACTGGGGGTCGCGATGCTAAGGGAGTGTCAGTCTTTCCCATATTGTTTATTTCCATATCTGGTTCATGGCCTTGCCGTCGCTGAACTTGGAGAGAGATGCACGCTGAGCTGGCTGACTTGGGAGAGCGCTGGGCAGAATGACGAGCACTATTGAATACGAGTGTCCATTTTTCTAAAACCCATTTACAAGGTCCTGTTAGTGGAAGTCCTATCTGTTGTTGGTAAAAGTTATATACAGGTCCATTTCCTTTTCTTCAGTCGCTCCAACGCCATCAAGTATTACTAAATGACTGGGCCAGAAAATTAGCCCCTCTTCAATTTTTGAGTGAGATGTAGAGCATAATCGTTGTGTTGTACAAGGAAATCCGCCTCTAGATAGTCCTCATCACATAGACCAGATGATGATGTCCCGCTTGAAACTCCGCGAGATCACCAAAATTTAGTCAAGGGAGGTTCGAGTTTGAAAAAAACAGTGGAAAAAACACAAAGAACCTAAATCCAACGCTATTTATGCTTGAAAATACACCACGTAAAAACATGAAAAATACATATGTACGTTATGCCAATGAGGCAGGGCGGAAGAGGATCTATATACGGGGATGGCAAAGGGGTATAGGCCTAAAATTGGATAAATGGGATATACAAGAAGGGAAGCTTTTCACGGAACAAAATGTTCATCATTTCCACTAACTTGCCAGCTTATATCCAAGGGCAGCCAGGTCGAAAATCCACGATAAGGGTGGTGCAATAGAGTAAACCAAGGCGCTAATGTTCCTTGTGTGAATTACTTTTGTTACACTTTCGGCTGGTCAGGTCTCACTCTCCTGGGCAATGTCCATGGCTCAGGGCAGACAACCTAATGCGTCAATCGAGTTAGCAAACACGCATATGAAAGCAAGCTGAAATAGGGAATATTATGGATATGAAATCGCTCACCTCTCCCTCACTATATGCCCAGAAATACACGATCATTCCAATCAGGTAATAAAGTGCGGAATTGGTTCCCTGATATAGCAATATCGCGCATAGCGTACTGATAGGAAATACCAACAATCGTATTTCAATGCTGCGATGTATCGCAGTTCCAGCGAGGGGTTTCAACGGCCATTCCCAGGCTAGAGATAGGATTCCGAACAACACATTGAGAATCTGCAGGACAGGAACTGGCTTTACGGCTCCATCGAGGTTCTTTGTCAGAAAGTCCCAAAATATTTTGGGCCAGAAGAAACCGTGGACTCCCGCGGCGCATTGGACTAGATAATAAGAACAAACGTGATCAGCACTGGAATATGGGATGAAAATGAAAAATTTCAAGGCTGCCGGAGCCAGGATGAACACCCACGTGTTGCTGCTGTCAGGATGATAAGGCGAGCCCAATGGTTCTTGATCAGCTTTCCCATCCTTAGAATATCCTATTCTGTCTTGACTTTGTTTTCTTTCTTAAATTATTTGCTTCCCTCGTTTCAGAAGCAAAAAATTAGAAGTGTATCCCTCCACTTGCTTGAACGGCTTCAAATTTATACAAATCGGGCCGGGCAAAACCTGCAAAGCGACCCCTTTCGACCAGCGAAAGACGGATGTATATAAGACTTCTGGATTCGGAATCTTCCTAACGAGAATCAATCGAGGTAAAATAGCTGTCGCTCAGCGATGCTGTTTCCCTCAAGACTACCGACGAGACATGAGGTAAACAGGGCGCTTCGGCGGATAATGTAGGAACAATAGTAATCCCCCCAGAAACTTGGTTACTGTGCTTTGGCGGCAGAGCCGGTAGCGAGGGGTTTTGCTTCAGTTACAGCAGCTTTTCAAAGCGGAGAATTGACTTTTCTTTCGCTCTAGTGCTCGGTTTGTTTTGCGTTGCGACAGTGGCTGCGGGAAGTTTATAGTTATGCGATACTTGCACGGTCTCGAATGCGCATGAAGGAATTGTATAGGTATTTTTCCCACGGTGAGTGTTTGAGAGGTGTTACAGAGTCTGTATGTGCATATTAGCGTGCTGCTACGGTTGAGATGAAAGGGCGGGATCGAGGGCAACGGGAGGTACATACATAAAAGTTTTCTACTATTTGAGGATAGGTGTGAATAACAGATGATGATTTTTTATTATTATTATTATTAGTTATTGCTATGTATCGTCGTCAACGTTTGTCAGTATATAGAATATGTGCGCTCAAAAGGGCGGGATTGTTTGCTGAATATGAGGGCGGATATGTGCCGAGCGTTGGAAGCGCTGGGTCAGGAAGACACACCCCTCTCAAAAACCTCCGACCATGCGATTCGCTCCCACGGTTTTTTCGTGGCGCTTGCTTTGCGAGAGGGGCTTGAAGCGAGCTCGGAAATCAAGATACATTGATTCATGTAACTGGTAGGAAAAATCGCCTTTGAAATGATTAAATCACACCACTAACGTGAACCTTTTGAAGTGATTTTGTGTTTGACCTCATCATCGCCCAATATGTGGCCGCTTCGTGCTTCCCCTCACGAAGGCTAGCGCAGTTAGGCTTGACCAAAGGATTGGCATGCGAAAACGTATGCGACAGGTCAGGCATCATTGGCGATCCTATGGGCAAAGCTATTTGATGGTGGAACGAATAATGAAGCAGAGAGGGGTCTGTGACACCTGGTGATACTCTGACGAGACACGAGCCTGCAAAGACCAATGAAGAAGCCGGAGGTCACCCCTTGCCTCTTAGCCTAGCTGAGCATCAGACGAGAGCCAGCGGGTGGCCCAGCCGATCCTTGGCCCACCAGGGTGTGTGCGCACTGACTTTGGGAACTGCTGCGTCCTTGGTGCTCTCGGAAGAGGTGAAAATAATATGAACCATCGCTGCACGAAGCCCGCCCAGACATGCATCATCACGCATAAAGCTGTGCAGTTTTCCCGCTTCTATTTGGTGGAATTTTGGACCCAATCAGCGTGGAGTAAATTCAAGGACCAAGGTTTGGAACTCATTGAGCTTCGTGGCGTTGAATCCCATGTTTTCGGTGATATAAATAAGCCAGCGACCATAAACCCAGAGGTCAGATGCTAGTGATTTAATGAGCAGAAGTGAGATATCAAAGCGAACAAGATTTCGATAAAGAGAGGACTGGCCAAGAGGAGCGCCATTTTCAGAAACTCCGGAAAGTTAATCCAAGTGTGACTGATAACAGATATTTTTGGTTCATCCCGTCCACTTAAACTTAATCTCCTAACTTAGCCAGAAACTTTCTCAAGCATCGCCAACCTCCGACAATCTGACCGCAAAATGACCTCTTGTTCAAGAGGAGAAAATTTCACCAGGAGTTGTGCTTGCCATCCAATTTTGGTTGCGCATCATGACGAAATAACATGCTCCACCTTGGCCATACTCTAGGTGCTCTCGATCATCGGCTACCATCGTAAAATGGAGCCGATGTATGATGACACTGTGACTGAGAGCTGGAGATATTTTATTACTGTGATCCTTTGAAAGGGTCGTCTGGATCGAATCCCCTGTCTGTTAGACAATCCGCAAGAGCTCCGGGTGTCTATTCACCTCCCTTTTTGAGATTTCCAGAACAGTAAACTCATGAGTGGCTTGCATAATGAAGCCGTGCCATTCGGTCTTCAAGGGGAAAATGTTAAAAATAGACCAAGCAAAGCCACCCTCTCAGATGGGTTTTTTTTTTTTTTCCGACGGGTGTTGAAGGTGTTACGCAAATGTTCCAAGATGGACGTTGCGGCCATCCCTTGTCAACATTGGTTCAAGTAAAAGGAATTACCAAAATGCAAAGTGGGACAAATGTCATTGAGCGCTTGCAGAATGCTCATGATAGGCCGGTTTTGAACGCTCACAGGGGCTACCAGACTACAGACTGCATGAGCGCACTCTGGATTCCTTTCCGCACTTTCGTACTAATACTGGGTGGGCTCCCCCGCAGTTGGCGTAAGTAGTCTCCCAGCTTCATTCGGCCAGCAATCATTGGTCTTGTGGGTTAGAATTGTGTTGGATGACGTTTGTCTCTGGTTATCGCACACAAGTCAACTCTTGGTAAAAAGAAATTGATTTAGCGTACCAATCACTCTAAAGGATGGGAAGGGTACTCCGTAGACCCTTCCGCATTGCCGCCATCACTCCCTCCCAGCCCTCGAGGAACCGTCCCTCTTGGGTGGATTTCTTAATTTAGCGCATCTTCGGCTTTCTCTCGGACATTGGCTCTGACACATTAAGGCTAATGATAGCAAGAGCCAGGGAGAATGTCGGCAGGTTTACCGCATCCTCTGCATCTGAAACCGTTGGTGGAGGCAGCAATATTTTAGGCCTCAAAGGTCTCGCTAAAGAGTAGCGCATCTCCAGCAAAATATGATCGCGAGAGAGCCATTCGATGCTGGGCAAAGAGCCATCCTGCACTGATATGCCCCTGCTGCCAAAATAGTTAACATTCATTCATAGATATACCTACGGATTAACAACACCATCATATTAAGCCAACTTGTAAAGGCCATAGAAAATACATAACTATCAATTTTGCTTAGTTGATGAACACACCTCATTTGCGGCAATATTTCTAAACGTTTTTGGATCAACATCCTATGCTGCTAGACTCCGCAGTGCAGTTTACAGGCGACCACTACCTGCACAGAAAATTCCTTGCTGATATCGTTGGAGCATTGTTAAAGTCTGGATTCGATTGTCGCACCGGACACAGCTGTGGGTTTTCGCAGAATCTTCACACTTCGATATTTATTTGATACCGGTTTTGGGTATTCAACGAAAGAGCCTCATCACGAACGACATCTGACCTTGAGAAGCCCATTGCACCACCACCACGACCAACCACAACGATAACAGACCAAAATAATAATATAGCGCGTTATAGCTAAAAAGATTGGTGCAAGGCTCTATTTCTCGAGTCGGAATAAAAGAACGTCTGGCTCGACTTTCACGGTCTCTGGCGCTTGTGGATGTCTCATCCGTGCTTCAGAACCTCGGGAAACCATAATCCACCATCTTTTTTGACCGCGCATAAACCACATTGCATCCTGCGACGTTATCGACTACATCTCCAACACTTTTCAAACCGCACTATCGTCGAATATCTTCCATTTCCGATTCCGATATCCTTAGTTTTTCCCCAACGAGCCACTATTTCTGTCCATCATCCCCCGATTTGCGACACTGCACGGTTACAACTTCACCAGCGCGTGAGATCAGACATTGGCTACAGCAATCTCTTACTCAATTAACCTTTTCGCCATAATTTGATTAACGGAAAAGGTAGAAATGGGCGGGAGAGGGGGGGCCTAAGGAAATTTTTTTAGATATTGACATACCCAGCTTGTATCAAGCCCATTTTCAGTGTGGATACATGGATAGCGCAACAAGCCGGATTGGACAAAGGTCTGAACAACTCGGTACAGGAGAAATAGGAGTGAATAGACGTATCGGTCTGGGATTGTTCAAAACGGTTCCAGGCGAGGGGGCCGCTCGTTAAGTGAGATAATGGTCCGTGATATTATAGTTTAATATTTCGGTACCACTGGACTCAGGCGAGACCTACTTCAAGAGGCGATCGTTAAGACTGTTAGACTTCCTCAGATATCTTCCTCTCTTCGTTTCCCCCTCCCTTGGGGAATTGTTTTGGGTTTGCTTGTCTGCCTGTTGTCGCTTTCGTTGAGGCTCAGATTCCTTTCTTAGACGTGACTGTTCTGGTTCCTGTGGAGCCTGAGCTTTATTCTTTTATCGGGGATCGCTGGCCGTCATTCCGCCTGTTTATTGCTAATCCTCCTTAATACCTGGCTTTTCCTATCTTTTGCAGCCTTAACAGCTTGTATTTTGCTGCATTTCCTACGATAAATTCCTCGTCGTTTATATACGAAATTCCACAACCGTTTCGCAACCATGAATTCGGCATGGTGGAAATCGAATTTCAGCGGCTCGAAAATTGTCTTCTACTTTTTTTTCCATGGATTGCATATAGGCATGTTTGCCTTTGGATGGTAAGTAAATCACACTGTCGATATTCTGGGTTTCTACGGGTGCTTTCTTCTGATCGATTAAAACAGGTGGAAACAGGCGGCTGACCCTCGGCTGGCACCCCTGAACTCTCTGGGATTTTCAGTGTGGATTTCTCGTGGTGCTGGTTTGGTGCTCTCGATTGATGGAGCCCTGATTCTGTTGCCCATGTGCCGGACTCTGTTGAGATGGGTGCGACCGAAAATTCGCTGGGTTCCTTTAGATGAATCCCAGTGGTTCCACCGCCAGGTCGCATATTCATTACTTTTCTTCGCAATTGTGCATACAACTGCTCATTACGTGAAGTATGTATTTATGACTTTACCTTTCCCGATGGACGCAACGTGACTAACAGATTCTACAGCTTTTTCAACGTCGAGAAGTCTCAAGTTCGTCCTGAAACTGCTATTCAGATTCATTACACTCAGGCAGGTGGAATCACAGGCCATATCATGCTGCTTTGCATGCTGTTAATGTACACAACCGCGCATCATCGCATCCGACAACAGGCTTTCGAGACTTTCTGGTATACCCACCATCTATTTATTCCATTTATGTTAGCACTTTATACACATGCTACAGGTTGCTTCGTTCGAGACACAGTTGATCCAATTTCACCACTTGCTGGGAAGGAGTTTTGGACTCACTGTATTGGCTATGAGGGTTGGAGATGGGAGCTCTGGGGCGGGGGCATTTACCTCTTTGAGCGGCTGTACCGGGAAATTCGCGCAGCGAAACCTACAGAGATTACAAAAGTCGTCAGACATCCTTACGGTATGTGAATGCGTTTGAGTAACTTTGTCTTGGAGGTTTAATAACTTAGCCTTTTTACAACAGATGCTATGGAAATCCAATTTTATAAGCCCAGTTTTACCTACAAAGCAGGCCAGTGGCTGTTCATCAATGTTCCAGATGTCTCAAGAGCACAATGGCATCCATTCACAATCACGTCATGTCCATTTGACCCTTACGTTAGCATTCACGTAAGGCAGGTAGGAGATTGGACAAAGCAGTTGGGTAACCGTCTAGGTTGTGGTCCGCAACAGGCAAAGGACATTGATGGTCTTGACCCACTGGGCATGTACGAAATCGCCATGCAGAATGGTCAAACCATGCCGAGCATTCGAATTGATGGACCTTACGGAGCTCCAGCAGAAGACGTCTTCAACAATGAAATCGCTATTCTTATCGGAACAGGTATTGGCGTCACCCCATGGGCATCAATTCTCAAAAATATATGGCATCTGAGAGCATCTCCCAATCCTCCAAGACGCTTGCGTCGTGTTGAATTCATCTGGGTCTGCAAGGACAACAGTTCCTTCGAGTGGTTCCATGCCCTCCTTTCCTCACTGGAAGCACAATCGGCGGCAGAGGCCAGCGATGGCCAAGAGTTCCTCCGTATCCATACCTATCTCACACAACGTTTTGACCAGGATACCGCTGCAAACATCTATCTCAACTCCGTTGGTCAAGACATAGATCCACTCACAGAATTGCGGACAGGCACGAAATTCGGCCGCCCGGACTTTTTGCGGTTCTTCACAGCTCTGCGGAACAGCCTGCTTGATCAAACTTATATGTCTGGATTAGACGCTTCATTGCGGACGGATGTCGGTGTCTACTTTTGTGGTCCGAATCCGGCAGCTAAACTGATCAAGAAGGCCGCTAACGACTGTGCAACTAATGAGGTCCGGTTTAAGTTCTGGAAGGAGCATTTCTGATCTACTTAATTTTGCCAGTTTAGTTGTCTGTTACTTGGTCCGTGGTTTTCTTCTTAAATAGGCAAATAGTCGCCAACTGGGTTTTTCCAACTGAAAGATCTGTTTATATTCATGAATTGTTTCTGTGTTGTCTTTAGGAATATCTTATCTCCAAAGTCTTATTGTTTTGCAAAGCGCTGTCTCCTTTTTCGTTATACTCTCACATATACTAGTATCTATCCATCCCTTATGATACCATCTACCTGTATTGTTTCCTTCACTTTGTTGCTGGCTTCCCGTTTAACTTCTCGATCTCAAAAACTTCCTAAGATGTAGGCGCTGGCTTATGACTGCGACCATTTATTCCCTTTCATATTTATTGGAGCTGATGTTCGACCTTTTCATATGTGGTTCTCAAGTCGCGGTCATCATGTATTATTTGAATTTTTCCAACTTTCTTTCTATTCATTACTCCCCGTCTCGAGCTTTCCCTGAAGAGAGTTGTGTGGTCATGTATGATTTATAAAGCTTTTGTCAGAATTATTTTCAAAACCACAGATGTATGTAACCATCAGTCAGTTTTCGTCTCTTCCATCCATTCCCCTTTCTCAGCATATCGAGATTAACGCAGAGAGGAAATGTACTGTACATACTTTTGTTGAATTTACACGCATTCACAAATACTCTTCTTCTAATGATGCTGTCTAGCGATGTGACTAGATAGAAAATTTTACGATATACATATGATCTGCATAATGGCCGTTTACAATCCTGAATTCTAAAAAGGAATAAATACCACAAGGCAATTAGCACATAATACTAATATTCAACTTATCCCTTTCATTTTGATAACATCCTGACACGTATTTCTATTCTATTGGGGAGCTTTAATTGTTTGAGGAAACTTTTAACATATGAATCTACAAGAACTGCAATTAGGAACACCGGTCTCATTTCCCAAGAGCAAAGGCTGAGGTTGATATTCCAAATCCACCATGGTTTCGGTGGATGTAAACAGAACACAGCTCTGAGGTGGCGTCGATATGATGCTGCTATCCGCCCCCCCCCCCCCCCCCCTTTCACTTTATATTTCTAATTACTTTCGAACCCCGCTCTTCAACTTCTTTTTTGAAAAAATAACATCCATTTCTACCTGCTATTCTGCAGTCCCTGTAAGAAAAAACTTAATCCGACAATGCTTCTTAGAGCCAATACTAGATTTCCTAAAGGGGAAAATAAAAGACGAAGTATCGACATTGACACTTACCATATTTGAAATTCTGGATCTCTAGGCAGTATATTCCCTATTCTCTGATTGATAAGATCCTTGGATAACTCTGCTGTCATGTGAATTGGATGAGGATACACTTGCGAAAGAGTCACGGAGACGGATATCTCACGTTGAATCCCACCTTTATGCTCTCGATTTCCCTGTAGTCCAGAAGCTGTAATCGGCAGTGGTATGGATAGTACAGTACATTGACTGTCCAAATAGCACCTCATGCTTCTGGCGACATGTAGTCCTGGGCACTTCAGAACTTGAACCCAGACAACATTTCAATTTCATTCGAGTTGCTTCGTCAAAAAACAATGGTTGATCTGGAAGATCGGAAAGCTCCAATTTTCCGCACTATTTTCAACAAGATCCCTGATCCCCCGACGAATAGTCCCCTGAAGCTAATGACTTTTGGGATCCATATCAAAATCAGATTCCCATGAACCGTTTGAGGAAAGCAGAGAAGTGCCTAACTTATTGATCCCGTAATTTTGGTGAACCATGATCATCTTTTCAACTGGAATAAATGGGGTTGAAACTGTGAAAATGAGTTTTCTGACTCCTATTGATGAGGAGTTTAGGGTTGCAAAGCACCTTATATTTGATTGCCCATTCTCTCCCTATAAGAGAGGACTACCGAGTCCTATACAGTACAGGGTCCTTCATTGATTTGAGGGAAGTTTTCGGATATTATTTGGGCCGCAACAAAGTGAGCGCCAATCTTTCCTCAAGGTAAGGCATGGATAGCCTGATAAAATCTATGGGACTGCTGGTACAGACCGCATCACTGAGGTCTCGCGTACTCTCGCACCCATCGACTCATGGACGAGACACTGGAGAGAGATCTCAAGGACCAATCAAACTGGACTGTTCGTTTGTCCAGTCCTATCTCACTCGCTCGTGCTGAAGTCACAAAATTTGGGGATGAAAATTGCCCCCGAGGTGAGGTGAGGCTGGTTGAGGCTGGTGAGCTTGCACTGCCACAATTCAGCTCCGCGATGGTGGGGCTGAGAACTCGATATCAAAACCTCCACCTCAACGCCGAGTATCGAGTAAACAATCGCTTCGCTTCGAAGTATAACGAATTTTCCGCCACAGCTGCTTTTCGGCGAACAACTCATTCGATAATGTCTCCCGCATTTCCCGAGTCAATCCAATGGCACTCGCAAGGATGTGATCTTTTCTTGATGGAGAAACCCTCTTGTTCTGTGGGCTAGACCTTG